GGCGCGCAACTGACGACGCGACGAGCAGGCATGCTTTTCTTGAGACAGACCTCGCGGTTCGCAATCCGCTCGAGAGACAGGTGCTAACTTGAACGCAGCACGCCGTGCTTGCACGTTCGGCGAAAACCCTGGCTATATGAAAATTGAAGCACGCACGCCCCGCCCCACTCAACCTCAGCGTCGTCGATCGCATTCACTGCTGCAGCCCGCGCCTCAGTGGTCGGCTTAGGCCCGCCCCGTGCTATAGAACCTTCGGAGTAGTAGCCCGACCAGCCCGCGCGGCCTTGGGCGCGCTCTGAGAGCCACTCTCGTTGCCAACGCCATCCGCCCCACCCGGCCATGGCCATCATTGCCGCGCGGCGGCCCGGTCCCAGGACGAGCGAGGGGGCGATGTGGAACGCGACGCCCGGGCGGAAGGCAGGAGAGGGGGGGGGATTGGGAGCTGGGCACGGGGGCGGTGCAAACATCATCCTTCAACTATCGGTGGCTATATCCGAATGGAATTCGGTGACTTCTATCGCGCGGAGGGGGGCGGGTGAAATGGGCGAGGGCGCGGGGGGAGGTGCGTGGGGGGGGGGGGGGGCCGTTGCGCGGGTGGCCCGGGAAGTTTACGCAGCGGTCCTCGGGCCACGCGATGACAAACCAAAGCCCCAAACAAACCCCGAGAGGTCGCGCTAAGGAACTACAGAATGCCGTCGCACCCCCTTAGCGGACCCCAACACAGACCAACAACGACGCGCCAACATGGCTAGGCGGACGCACATGTGACTCGACGTGCCCAAGACACCCAACGCATCGTCGTTGTTGTCGCTAGCGAAATCAAGTTCTGTCATAGGAGGGTCATCGGCGCACCAACACCCGCCAACAGTCCCGACAAAGCGGCGCGCTGGCTGGCGGTGGCTCGCGAAACGCCAGGATTCGCAGCGCTTTCTGAGGGCGCGGAAACGCTTGACCTTGACGCTCGTGTAGATGATGCCTTGCGTCTAGACCGCCGGCGGGGGATTCGACCATCCCATGGCAGCGGCGGCATTGCACTCATGATCTTAGACTTCGGGATCGGCTTCAAGTCGGCATCCTTGGGCATGCCCCGCCCTTTGCAGCCTCGGCAGGCTCGGCCTTCGCAGCCTCGTCAGGCTTGGTGGTGATAGTGGATGCTGCTGGGCGCGTCCGCGGTGGCACCTCGGCCTTGACCGCAGGTGTCGTGTCTTTCGCTGCTTTGGCAGCCTCCATTCTTAGCTAAGGCTTTCGCTTTCGCTTCTTCCTTCTGCTTCGCCCTGCGCTTCTTGAGGGGGCTGATCGCAGCAAGGGCGCGCCGCTCCAGCCCCCCCCCCGCGCGGTCCGTCGTTTGCATCGGCGGGGCCGTGCTCAGCACCAGCGTCGGAGGCGCGCTCAGCCTCGATCGCGTCTTGCTCCTCATGTCTGGATTCTGGCTCATGCTTGACAGGTGGCTCAGGATTGCTCTCTGCGAGTGCCCTCAGCGCCCCATCGGCAGCGCGGCGGATAGCCGAGCTGCCTCGCAGCTCGGCTGTGGCGCGAGGCGCTGCGGGGCCCTGCGCAGCCGATTGGCTTTTCCTCTGCGGTGCTCGATCAATTTCTGCTGGCATTCGTGTATCAATCCCATATCGAGACGGTCGGTCGGCGATGCAACGAGCGCCCCTGCCTGTGATGCGACGCGCGCATCGGCTGCGGGCGCTGCGACGTCACGGCTGCGAGCGCAGCCAAGCTCTTCCTTTGCTTCCTGAAACTTTAGTTTAGCATCTGAGTCAAGATGCTCTCAACGGGACCGCGTTGAAGCGTGGCGAGATTTTGTCCGCGATTGCGCTTATGACCTTGAGGTCAAATCTTGGTCGGCTGGTCATCGCCAGGGCAGGCGGCCCGGGATATGTCGGGCGGGAGCTCGGATGGCGAAGCTGGGTATTCCATGATGCGAGCAAAGCCGAAATCCCTTTTCATTGTTTTGAACGACAATTTCAAAAGTCCCCCAACATGCCGCGCACCTTCTTCGGCTCGGGTGGGGCGTCGTAATGCGTAACAAGCAGCGTTGCCAAGGCCCACGTGTACGTCTGCTCGCAAAGTTCAACGCATCAAACAGCCATGCCGCGTTCGACCAATGTCGTCATCTTGCGGTTCAGCGAAACCTTGGGGCCATCGATCGCCCCCCCAGTTCGACGACGACGTGAAGTACGACCACCGCTCCTTAAGCACATGCTCGTTCGCGGAGCCTTCGGGCTTGATGGGGCCACAGCCCTTAGCGACCTTGCTGTCGACGATGGGCATGATCCGCTTGGCCTGATCTTCGCCGCACGGCTCACCCCTCAAAGCGTCGACGAGATGGGTGGCATCTGGCTGGCCCAAAGCATTTAATGCTGTTCAGCAGGGTGATCAGAGTGTCGGCGAAGCTCTTCTGGAGCGCGGGGCCGGCGCTGCTGCCTATATCGCTGCGAGCCCTGGAAAAGGCTTTCGCGCTAGTCATCTCCTTAACGAGCGAGCTGCAGCTGCAGCTTGTTCTGCGACTGGTGCACGTAAGCCAACAAGTTGCGAGGATGGTCAGCCCTCAGGCAGGGCACCCTGCACGTCAGCCTCCCGACGCGGGTCGAAGTTTGGCATCGCAGTAGCGTCGATCCCTCTGCGCCGAAGCTCCATGGACAGCCCGCCGACTCCAGCGAAGACCCCGCGAAGTCGGCAGCCGCCCTCCTCTGGCACCGCCAGCGGCGGCCGCGCCCGCGCGCCTGGCGGTATCAGCGACTTGCGCGGCAGGGACCGCGGCGCGAGCCGGGCACCGCGCTCTGGCTCGGCAGACGGCGGTAGGGACCGCGGCGCAGCCGAGCGCCGCACCCTTCACCGCCCGCTGGGGGGCGCCAGACAGGAGCGTCCGTAGAGCACTCGACCGACGCTGCCCTGGACAGAGCAGCGCTGGCATCACCAGCTCTCACGGATCGCACTCTGCGCAGCGCGCGCGCGAGCGCGGCCGCCTGGGCTCTCAGCGGCGCGCCGCCCTCGCCTTCTTCTTGCCCTTCCCGTGGCCTTTGCCCTTCGTGTGTTGCGGTTTCCACCCAGGGGTGTTGCGGGCACTCGATGGACCGGTGAGCGCCGCGGCACCATTCGCACGCATGTGCACGCTTGGGCGTAGATGCGCAGAGAGTGCCGCACCCGCCAACGTTGCGGCTGAACTCGAAACAGATCTCCGTGCCGTCGTCCATCCGCTTGAACCTCCCGTCGGCGGTGCGCTCGTTGACCCAATCACGCCACGACGTGCCGGGTCAACCCCCGCCGGAGCCCCCGCCAGAGCCGCCGCCGGGGCCCCCGCCACCAGCCGAACCGGTTGTCTGCTCGAATTTCCGCCTGGGCTGGGTGGCATGGCGGGTCTCCGGCAGCACGGACGCAGCAGCACCGCACGAAGCTGTCCTGGAGGCCTGCGGCCCCGCCAAAGCAGCTTGCCAACTGACCCAGCTCGGATTATTGACCGACTCCGCCGAATTGATCCACTTCCGCGCCTGCTCCTTCAGCCGGTCCTCCCAAAACGTGAACCCCTCCATGGACTCGATGCCAGCATACAACACAGAATTCCATGGCATGCTCGGGTCGAACGTGCTCACGCTGGGGTGCTGCCGGCTGAACTCCTCCTGCCGGCGGCGTTCTTCCACGCACCACTCCATGCGAAATTCCCAATCGGCCTGGGCACAGACCCGCCAAACCTCCTTGTAGTTCTCGCACAGGTTGGAGAAATGGGCCTTGTACGCGTCGGCGACGCCGCGCTCCAAGACCTCCGTCATGACGAAACCCGTGGTTGCGAAGTCCCACGCCTGCTTCCAGTGGTCGAGGTCCAGGGCGCCATATATCTCGAACGGATGGTGCACGCCGTCTGGCCCAAGCCGGTGGGCCTTCAGCATCATGTGCCTCTGCCTCCGGGCGTCGAAGGGACCGAAGACAGCCCAGCATGTTCCAGTCCACCGACTTGAGGCTGAGGAGGATGGAAATCTGGTTGTTGCTCGGATTCACGCTGCGCTCCGCCTCCAGCTTGTTGGCCGCAGTCCACTTGGCCCGAGCAGCCCGGATCTCCGAATCGGGGCGAGGCTTGAACACAAGCTTGCACCCCTGGTCGAAGATCTGTCTGACCCGCAACGACACAGCATCCTCCTCCCCATTCGTGGACTCCTCGGCAGCGGTCGCCATCGCTCCTCCCAGAGTGGGCGGCGCTGGGGGCATGGCCGGGGCGAACACGTCAGACACATCCATGCCGTGCGCCTGCCGGAGGACGTTGACGAAGATGTTGATGCGCATCTTCACGACGGGCGAGGCGTCGATCCTCCCGGCCGCTTAAACGAAGTCAGCGTCCGGAAACGCCGCGATGAAGATGCCCTCCTGCAGATTGTCCTCCCCCAGCGTCGCCGCCCATACCTTCCACGTATCTGGCGAGAGCTTCGCGAAGTTGATCGCTTCGCTGAAGTCCTCGTACGGGGAGGCATCCTGTGGGAGCAGCTTCATGAACGACATGGCACCTGCTGCGAAACCGGGGTGATCAGGTACAGCCAACCTGAAATCAAATCCGAGAGAGAGAAACAAACTCCCCCAGCCTAAGAAGAGACAGCCACTCTCGTCCCCTCGAGCCAGAATGGCCGCGGATTCCGTGACGTCCACACGGGTATCCATGACCTGACCGTTCACCCACCTCCCCTCACTCTGCCTCTGCATGTTGCTACGTGCATTATGTATTACACCACATGGCAAACTATTCATGCTGAATCGTTTTCTGACGGTGCCAAGAGCCGGAAAACTGAGAGAAACTGCCAAGGCCCGTCTCCTCCAGGACCAGCTGCCTCCATGCAAAAGAGAGAAAGGGAGAAAGGGAGAGGGAGAGAGAGAGAGAGAACAAAAAAAAGAAGAAGAGAGAGACAGACAGACAGACAGACAGAAAGACCAATAGACAGAAAGAGAGAAAAAGAGAGAGAGAGAGGCAGAGATAGAGAAGCGGGGTTAAGCAGGAGAGGCCGGGCAAACACCTTCGGACAGCTCCGCCTCATGGTGGTCCGGAGCGAGCCGCAGGCCTGCTCGTCCAGGTGGGGCATGGCAAGGTAGGCCCGCAGACACTGGAAGTGGGGGGGGACATCTCGCAATGGCATGTACTTGCCCAGAGCGTGCGCCATGTGCACAGGGACACCCACTCGAGTTTGGACGCCCGAAATGGGTACCGAACAAATGGGTACAATGCCCAACAGCAAATGTTGTCCCAAACCAACAGCGGCCGCTGTTGGGCAGGCGGCCCTTTGTCTCAAATGGGCACAGGCCGCGGCGGCGTGGACAGCAAATCCTGTTCAAAATGAACAGGAACTGCAGTTGGGCATAGTACCCATTCTTTCAGTACCCATTTCGGGCGTCCAGATCGAGGTTCTCCCGCTGCCAGCGCCGACGGAGCAGATCTTGCAGGGCGCTTTGGAAGCGAGAAACACTACTGGACCCCCCGGCGAAGCGGGCTGGCAGGCGATTCTAAACCCGTACTCCTCCTCCTCCTCCTCCTCCTCCTCCTCCTCCTCCTCCTCCTCCTCCTCCTCCTCCTCCTCCTCCTCCTCCTCCTCCTCCTCCTATTAACCTCAAATCACTCCGATTCGCAATGGACTCCTAATTTGTGGACTCCTACTCTTTCCTCGCCTGCTCACTGTTTCTCAATTGTTAATTAATCGCGCTGGGCTCCTAATTGCTCATATTCCCCAGTCCAGGCCGTCAATTATCATGTCAGGTTGAAGAGCTGGTCATCGGGAAAGCCCTGAGTAGTAAGACGCATTTCACTCAGGACTCCTGTTCTTCATGTCGGGATGGACGAAAAGAGGAATTAGCACGGGGGGCCTGGTGCCTCCGGAGGAGCCGGAGGCGCCCATGCATCGAGGAAAGCGCGGGGCGGCGGGGTGGCAACCAGCTGCGTGCACCTAATATCGTACGCCCCTCCTTTCCCCACTTCCGTCCGACACGACCATGGCGACTCGACCTCGGGGTGTGTGGGAGTCGCAGGCTCGGCCCATGACCCGATCGGACAGCTGGGCTCTTGGTCGGCCAGGGCGGCGGAAGGGCAGCTGAGCCACTGTGTGGTCGGCTTTGCGCGATGAGGGCTGCCCGAGGACTCCGACGGCGACGACGACGCGGTCCTCTCTCGACGCGGAGGATCGATGATCGAGGACCGAGGAGGAGGGGGAGGACCGAGGAGGAGGACGAACGAGGATCGAGGAGGATTGAGAAGGAGAACGAGGGTCGGGCACGAAGAGGATCGAGGATCGTTCTTGGGCCTCCAGACTCCACAGGCCCCCAAACTCCAGAGGCCGGGCCTGCAGAGGCGTTGCCCCCCAGACGAACCTGCCCCAGACCCCAGAGGGGCAAATTCGGAGTCGGACCCGCTTGTTTGAGAGAAGAGGTGGCAGTTGCACATAGCTTCTATTGTGAGACGCCCCGCGCCCAAGGCCTCTTGCCGAAGGCCCCCCCCGCTCGATCATGGCCCTCCCGACCGCAACCTGGCGGACAAGTGGGACGCCCAACGTATCAGCAAAAACACCTATGCACCACCACCATGCCAGGCCAGGGCCATCCTAAACCCTACGATTGTGTATAATTAATTTATCCTGGCCCCAAGCAGGAGGGAGTATACACCATGCCACGGCCCAGCATGCCCCTGGCCAGGTATGGTAGTGGTGTAGAGGTGCACAAGTTCCATCTGCTGAACTTAATTGTTCACACGTGCCTCAAAGGAGAAGCCCGCTGCTGCCACTCCCAACCCACATCCAAAGCCAAAGCGGTCCACGGCGACATCACAAACGAAAACCGACCGAACCGACTGCGGAATCGACAGCGACCACAACCCAAAGGACCGAACCGACCGAAAACAAACAACTGCGAATCAGCCGAAGCGATTGAAACGCTGCCACCCTTCTAAATCCCTCGAAGCCGAACCCTCGACCACTTCCAGGCATCCTAACTTGCCATGTGCTAGGGTGTGGCAGTGTGCCGAGTACAAAGATTCCTGCCGTGGTCAAAATGGCCCTGGTTTCGGACACTGCGGGCATCGCTCAATCTTGAATGACCTCCGCTCTCGGAAGTCCCTGGTGTAGAGCAGCACACTCCTCCTCTAGTAATTATGGATGTCGTGTCGTCAGTTGTTCCCTCCTGGCCCCAGGCCCTGAAACACTCGGGCTGGCGTTGCCGCCGCATCGGGGCGGCGCGATCCTGCTGTATGCCCAGCGACGATGAGAACTCAACACGCTCCTCTTAACCACTGCCTGACCCCGTGAGCATCCCAGCGGCCCATGGTGCGTGGTGGGCTCCTTCACGCTGCTGCCCTCGCCCTGCAGTGGAGCGTCTGCGGCAGCGCCTGCGCTTCCACTGGCACCCAATCCTTGACCCCCAGGTGCCCTGCGACCGAAGAGAAGGAGGGGTTTGGCAGGCCGTGTAAGCCCCTTCGGCAAAGACAGCTGCAGCGCAGCACCCTGGCTTTGACAGCCTGGCAGAAGACGTCACTTCACCTCTGGCCGAGCGAAAATCAAACCAACACGACATTATTTTCTAAAACACAAAACACCTCGCAAGAAGACACATACGACGCGTGGGCGGGTCCTCTTCCAGGGACAGCGCCCCCGCAGACCATGGCTCACCCCGCGCTGCGCTTAAAGCGACAAGGGGGCCGAGCGAGAAAGAGGCGCACCCGGGATGACGCAAAGGCGCATGCATTCCAGGGCACGCCCCGCCCCGAACCGACGTGCTCCATAAAAAGGGAACTCGGGGATGTCGACACAGCGACCGCAGCCTCGGCGACGAGCCTCGGGAAGAGGCCCCGGGATGCCCCCCAGGATTATGTACCAGGGAGGGACCAATTGGCACATACTGCAGGGAGTATCTTGAAAGCCTCTGGGGGTCCTCTGCGGGTCCTCCAGGGCCCCCGACAGAACTGCCAAGGGCCGTCGTGGGGGCCACAAGAAAATCTCGAGAGGGCCCTTAGCTCTGTGACTGGTCTTGGAGAGCTCGGCTGGCCTCCCCTGGCCCCCAAGACGTGTGTAGACCACTGGCAGGTCCCGAAACGACTGCCAGAGGCCCACCAGCGACACGAATGGCGACAGGAATGGCGATGTTAATCGAGACTTGCGGCGACACGAATGGGGACACGAACGGCGACACGAATGGCGACACGGACGGCGACATTAATGGCGACACGAACGGCGACACTAAAGGGCGGCGGTGACAACACACATGGCGGCACGAATGGCTGCGCTATTTCGGCCTACCCACGACCAGACTCACTGATCGAAAAATAATTCCCTTGCCCTGCACAACAGGCTTCGTGTGTTTAGGTTTGTGTCAGTGCCTGCGCGTTCGGCTCGAACCTGCGACCTCCTCGCCCTGAACGGCGACTTTATTGGCGACGCTACTGCACGAACGACGACACGAATGGCGACACTAAGTGCGACACGAACCGACGAGAACGTCGACACAACTGGCGGCACTAACGGCCAAATGAACGGCGACCCGAATGGCGACACACACGGCAACGCTAACGGCGACAGTAATGGCTATACTCACGGCGACACGAATGGCAACCCGAATGGTGACGTAAACTTCGCCACCACTCGCGATTGTAGTAGCCACTTAACACACGTCCTCGATATTACCATCCTCCTTCTTCCCACTGCGTGCCGAGTGTGATTGTCCTGGCAGGTCGCGCCAGCCTCTATCGTCAATCCATAGTTCCTCAACATCTGGTTTGGGTCACTCCGAAGCGTCGTCCGTGCAGTTCCATGACATAAGTGACCAGGCGATGGCGAGGACCGCCAGGATAACAATGCGGGAACAGAAAAAAGGGGAGAGAAACACCCATGGTCTTGATTGCGCGGGACAAAGGAGGGAACCAAGGGAACATTATGTCCAGAGACTCGGGTCTCTGGTCTTCGATCTGCTGGACGTCCACATCTCCGTTGACATCCTCACCCCCTTACCCTGCGAGCATTGGTTGACGACCATCCAATACGAATTCTGGCGGCAATCCTTCCGAAATCTGCAAAACTGTTCGGGGTCAACCGGTCGCGCTGCCCTTCGCTCTGGTACGACGCGACGTTCGTCGACAACCGACTGGCGCTGACTTCTGGGCGGTGGGTATCTGTGCATGCCTCCACCGCGATGCCTCGCGAGGTACAGGTGGGCCAATGCTCTGGCCGCAGCGCAAGGGCGAAATCGATCTGCGGCGACGCGAGCGGGCGCTCCTTCTGCAATCGCCCATGCACGTTTGCCGTCGAGACCGACGACGCGAGAAACCGCGCCCCACCCGGCAGTAACTCTCAGTCGGCGGGGCACTGGCGGCGACGTCCTACATCCGCAACCGAGCAATTCCTGGCCAACGCCGCGGCCGGGCATAGCTCGCGCGATCCGGCATCCGACGCCATGCTCTGCGAAGGCGCCCCCGGCAATGTCGCGCGGCGCGCGCAAACGCCTGCGAAGAAGACTCATCCGATCCGCCCTCCGCTACGTCTGCAAGGGCACCGAGGCCCAACGCCTCCCCGCCATCAAACCGCCACCCTGGAATCCGAAGCCATCCATCGTCCGAGCGCACATGGGCATGGAAAGAAACCTCGTGCACTAAGCATATCGTTCTTGGTGTCGACGGCTTCGACCGCGGTAGCCATTGCTTCGCCGGCGCCGATGCTGCTCTAATCGCTGTCGTTTCTCTCAATCGTTTTCCCAGAGTCAGCAGCGCCTTGCGGCGCGTCCGATCTGCGCTGGTGACTTGACCCCGGCGCCGCGGACATCGATTCCCATTGTGAAGAGACGCCGCGGCCATGGGCACCTCCGTCTAGCACGGCGCGCCTGGGCGCGCAATCGCAGGCAACCCAACGTTCTAGAAATGCTTCGGGGCGCCCCAGGGAATGGCAGGCCACCTCCTTGTTTCTTTCGCAGATGCGACGCGTTGGAAGGTCGCGCCGCCGCGTGCGACGTCGAAGAAAATGCGTCGCTCACCACTGGTCCCCTGCATTCCTGGGCACGCAACGCCGATTCCGGAAATGAGATGAATTTGTTCGGGCCTCGCAAGCCTGCGAAGTCTGGGCCGGAGGCGCGCGGTGTTCGCAGCTTTCGCGTCGACGGCTTTTGACGGCATTCACGCACTCTGTCGTCGCCCGGGACAGACGCACTAGCTGGATGAATGCGCAATGGGGGCAATGACCGAATTGGCGGCGCAATCGGCGAATGGCGAATCGCAACTAGAGTGGGATCTTGAAAAGAAAATTCTGGAGTGCGCCTTCTGCTATGGTCCCACCTGGTCATGGAAGCTTTTCCAGGCTGTCCAGCTCCTCGCCCCGCGCGCGCTCACTATGGGAAATGGCTGCGACGCGCGAGTCGGCGATCGAGTCGAGCGCCCCAGCCCCCTGCCGCGCGGGGGCCATTGCCCGGAAGCCTGCGCTCGCGCCCGTCGATTCTGACGCGCGGGGGCCATTGCCTGCGGAAGTTCAGGAACTAAGGCTCGCGATGTCTGCGCTCGACTCTAATGAGTTCAGGGCGCCAACAACTCCTAGATGCGAGCCAAGGGCGTCTCATCCAAGCGTAACCGTAGCTGGTCAAATCCGTTGAGATAACTCTTCGACATTTTGTCCAGGCGTCGATAATGTTGTCGGTGGTGGTGTTGGCGATGATGAGATCAAGAATGCACTCGATAAATCTCCTTTCAGCTCGGGCGTCCACGACGGGCGAATCTCGCCGCCAGTGCCGAGCCCCATCGCGGGGCAAGATGATGCACGCCGAGGTCTGGCCCACAATCTTGCCCATTGGACGCGATCCGTGCGCGACGTCTCTGGTGATTGTTCCCCTCAGAACTGCGCGTTGCGAGAAGGTCGTCCTGCTCGTCGACCTCCCGGGGCCCCGCAGAATGCAATTCGCGCTTCTTGTGGCCCAACGTACTCATGCCGCACCCATCGAGGTTCAACGAATAATAAGAATAGGTAACCAGGTAGCCCCATCACGGCACGGCCAAACCATGACAGTTGAGAGCGCGCAAACTCTGACGCCGATGCTCGCGTCGGCGACAGCATCCATCTCCAAGCGATCCTCGATCCGCCCCCAATTGCCGTTCCTGCGCGGACGTCCCATTGACGTGTTCTTCCTATCTGCCATCAAAGCAATAATCTATAGTTTCGCGCAATAGGTCGAGTTCACAATTCGCGAACGTCTCCGGCTCGATGCGCGTGATAAATTCCGTCTAGTCGGTGCCGAATAAGGTCTCGAGCATGGCGTCCCTGGTCCTGGTCGGCTCGAAACCCGCGACAGGATCTCCAGCCTGGCCATCTTTCACGTCATGCTCGCATGCTTTCTCGATCTCGGACCTGGCAACGCGCGCAGGCGGCGGCGCTGGCGAAGGCAGAGGCCCCCTCGACGGACGTGCTGGAGGGGTCGGTGAAGTCGGCGGCGGAGGCGGCGGCGGCACTCAAAGAGCCCCGCGCGTGCTCGCGTCGGGTTCGGCATCGGGCCTGGATGCCCGCTTCGGAGCAGGGCTGAGCCTGGCCTTCTGTTTGGCGGACTTGCCCTCAACGCTGGCCGAGCTGGAAGCAGCTGTGGGCGACGGCGTCGGCTGCGCGAACTCCGACTGAATTGTGACGGGTTCCTTCTCTGTTGTCTGGACGGCCCTCGCACTGCCCGCGGGCTTGCGATTCTCGTCGCCGCAAGGGCGGCAATCAAACTGTAGCTTACGGCCCGCTGCATCGATCCAAGACTTGCTTGAGGCAATCTCATCGCACGCATTTCCTTATTGATCTTTCCTTTTGCTTCTGGCAAACCCACGAATGGCCCCGGCAATCGAGGCATCGTCGATGTCCTCGTGGATGTCGTCGGCGCGGGAACGCTAATCCTCGCACTGAACCGGCGCAAGATCCCGAGCAGGCATGCTCGTAGCGGGCGGGCCATACGCCTCGGCGGAGGTCGCCCTCGTGACCGCGGCGTTCGGCAAGAGACGAGCCTGCTCCTCCGATGTGGACGTAGCGCCCCCGAGTCTTACCGAATATGACGTCAACTGCGGCGCTGACCATATCTTTGGCCCACGGCGCCTGGCGTCTGCAGTCCATGCTGTGGCCTCCACAGGCCCTCAGCGGCCACTCGCGCGAAGAGAGATGTATGGACTCGATGTCGACCTTGTTGAGCCAGCACATCAGCCCATGGGCGCATGCCACTGGGCGGTGTTGCCCAGATATGCACGCAAAGATGATATCAACACTCTTGTCAGGTGGTATCTTGGCGAACTGGCTTCCTCTGGCATCGACGATCGGATCGAAGTGCTTGATCTCTGCAGTAGCGTGAAGAATTTGGATGGAAACCTATATGCCGAACGCATTGCGGATCATTAAGGCCACGCGTCTCCGCCAGGAGCGTGCGTTCCATCTTGGCGAGGACGGGTCTGGCTGCATGAATCGCGCAACAGATGGCTCCACCGTCGTCGCCAACTATGGTCCTGGGTTGGTTTTGCTCCGAAGGCTGCCATGAAGATGAAATGCCACCCGCTTCAAGATCTTGAGGCGACTGCAGCCGTGGCGGCGAGGACATCAGGGAGTGCGACCATCATGAAAAGAATCCCCTCCTGTTCATCCTCACTCTCCGCCGTGCAAAGTCGACCCCTGGCCTCTCGAAGGGTACGTTTTGACAAGATCTTCGAAGGAGAATCCAGCCACGGCGATGAGGAACTTGCTGGAGCACGCAGGAAGCTCGGTCCCTGAATCTCGATCCGACTCCTCGCCCTCCTCCTCGACCCTCCACATCGTCCCTCCTCGACCCTCCCGGGTCTGTGCTGGCCACTCCCCGCGGACCTGGCGCGGGCCCCCATCCTCGCGTTGTGCGCCTGCTCCTCGACAGCCCTGGCCCCCCGGGCGGCAGGAAGTCCGTGGCGCCCGGCAATTCCTGCAGAGGCGGGGAGGTGCCATCAACCGGGGAGGGGGGGGAAAGGGCGGGGGGCGACGCAACGCCGGATTGGGCGACGAGCCGTGCTCAATCAGGGGGGGGAGGCGAGAGGGAAGAGGACGGAGGAGGAAATACAGGAGGAGGAGGCGGAGGAGGAGGAGTGCAAGAGAGAGAGAGAGAGAGTAGCAGAGCAGCGCAGCCTAGGTAGGGAAATATGGTCGGGGGTATCGAAAACTGGAAACGAGGCGGACCTGGCAGAGGGAGGAAGACGAGGGTAATCCTCCTCCCCCCATGAGGGGAGGTGCAGCTGCCGGTGTCTCTCCCCCCCCATCTTCCACACGCTCATCCCCCTGCATGTACTGGGGCCTCATTGTGATACTGGTTCTCCTCCCCCTCCTCCCTGCGGGCGTTTCTCGTTTCTCCTCTACCCGAGTCGCCACTCTCGTTGGCATCTGAGCAACTGTAATGCGGCGCTTGCGTCGCCTGCGTCGGACGGAACATATCCAGATCCTGAGGCAGGGGAGCGCAGACAGCTCAGCGAAACTGTGAGAACGTTCCTGGTTCGGGTCGGCGACAAAGCATACTCTCCCGCATATCCCACCTCAGCCAGCGGCGAAACTTTACACGGCCCATGCACATCGAGAAGGCAATGCACCAAAGTACTCGACGCGGAGATCCCCGTATGTGTATCTAGTTGCCTGGACCTTTCCCCCTGCGAGCGTCTGGGTACGAGTCTGGGTAGTATGAGTGGGTCTGGGTAGCAGAGACTAAGAGCCAGTGGGTCTGAGAGCGGGTAAGTCTGTGTGTGTGAGCGAGTCTGGGTGTCAGTGACTTTGTGTATGAGTGTGAGTATGGCGAAGCTTAGGGTAAGTGTATCTGGGTGTGAATGGCCTGAGTGTTCGAGTGCCGGTCTGAGTGCGGGTGCGTAGTATGAGTGTAAGTGGTCTGAGTGTGATTGTGAGTGAATTGGCCTGACTGTATCTGAGTGTGTGCGGTCTGACGGTTAGTGTGGGTCTGAGTCTGAGTGAATCTGGATCTGAGCTTCGGCTCAGCACACCTGAGAATGACAGAATCTGAATCCGAGAAAATCAGAGTGCGAGTCTGAGCGCAAGCGAATCTGGGAATGAACGACCTGACACGGAGCAGGCGGGAGGAAAAAACAGAGAGGAAACACGTCAAAACACACGGTTTCAACTCACGGGCGAGAAGGTTCCACGTAACAAACAACACACACAATCCGAGACCCAGGAGAGGGGCAATATACAGGAACATACGTAAAACACATAGGAACCGAACCCAAGGAGAGGGCCAGTCCATAGGAACATCCGTCAAGCACTGAGGATTCGAGAGTCGAAAGTGAGCCTGGTAACTCAAATAGCATCCGATTCCATGATAGACAGCGGATGGCAAATAGCGTCCATCGCTCTGCTGTGATAGTACAGTATGAGGGGTGGGCGGATGAGATAGGATAAGATCGATGTAATGATCTTTCCAGCACATAGCGAACACTCGCGGTGTCCGGGCAAATAGGGCGCGCGTGCCTTGGGCCAAAGGCAACGGCGCGCGCGAGCTATGCTCCCGATACTATAACATCTCCCAAAGACCTACCCTTAAAGTCGGGAGGGGAGGAAACGGAGAGCATAGTCGCACGCAAAGGTCGCGCGCACGACTGCTTGCAAAAAAGAAAACAGTGCGTACAGTCTGGCCTAACACCAGACTGCAAGGCGAGTTTCCTCGCAAAGTATTTCACGCAAATACAAGACAGCCCCTTCAAACAATGAAGGGCTATCGGCTCAGTTAAAGGTGAGCCAAACAGGCCATATCTCACCAAGCAAAGGTGTATTAAGGCAAAGAGCCTGAGTTGTACGAAGCCGGCTCGTTGCCAGGCGTGAAATGTAAGGCTCGTTTCCGAGCAACTAGAGGGGCGCCTTTATAGTAGGCGCCCGTGCTGGCAAATTGGACCGCGAGGGCAACAAGGACAGACTAAAATTGATTAGACTTAGGTTTGTCTCTGTCCTCGGGACCCCGAAAGGGAACAAATTGCTTCACGTCATACTTAAATGACTGAGTGCCTGACATCACTTCCAGAAGCAGCTCCCGATCGATGCTTCCCTTTGTATGCCCATCTGCGGTCATATCCCTAGTATCACACCATTGCACATTATGTACTATACCTATATCCATGAGCTCACGTATCCAGCTGATATGTCCAAGCAGAGTCCGTTCTGTAGGTATTTTGAGATCCCTGCTTGATAAAGATTTGTAGACGGACTCGGCGTCTATGGTAAGAGAGACTTTGATAGCTAGGCCTCCAACTTCACGCATGTCTCGTAGTTGTCGTGGAGTCAAAGCTCCTGCCTTAAGCTCGTGGAGAGTAATGAGCGTAGGGTAACACTCATCAAGGTTATGTGCGGCTGCAAGTGCCTCCGCAGCATAACTGGACCTCACCTGTAATCGGTGTGATTTGCATAGTCCGTCACAGAGGTGAACGACGGACTTGCCTTGAGGCGAGTTTCCTCGCCGTAGTACATTGGCCCCGCGTATGCCGTAGCCCTTGGTCTCGTCATCCTCCTCCCCGGTAAGCTTCCGATACCCCGAATCGCTATGGATGTCAACTTCATTCGTCGGCTTCATCCGGGGGAGGGTGATGCGTTTCGGGCTGCTGATCAGCTTTCGCGTCGCAGCATTCAAACGTCTGAATTGCAGATTAGTGGGATCTTGAATTTTCTGAAGAGAGACCACGTATACCATGAGCCAGATTTGGGTAAGAAGGGCATAGGCGAGGGCTCCTCGCAGGCTGACGAACATGTCGGCAATGAGTTTCGTGGCTTTGGCATCGGCCGCCGCTCCTGTAAGTTCTGGGTGTGTGATAGGACGTAGTTGTTTGATATGCTCGTCCTGGTCCATGATCACATCTCCTTGATCATTCTTAGTGTAGCGAACGGCGCAGTTCGTATATGTGTGCTTGTTGAGCTTGCATTTGCCAAACACCTTTTCGACACGTTGTACATAGTCGTCTATATTTCCTCTAGACATGTCATGTTAATATCATCGACATGTTTTGCCGACAGAAGGTCTTGGCTGAATTCAAATTCAGAATCGTAGCTGGTCGGTGTAAGTCCTATAGCTCGCGTGGTCGTACGAAGTTTGAGAGAGAACGCTCTTGGAGCGTCCTTTGTACCCGTTCCTGGTTTGAGGCATCTAAGACAGCGTCGACTTTCGTCGTAGGATGAGAAGCCGGGTAATGTACGAAGTACCTGAGCACTTCCTGGTGGAAGAGTAAAGCAAACCATGTGAGATTCCTCGCCGGTGGCATGGGCAAGTTCCTCATAGGTCAAACCCTTGAGGAACGCCTTATCGATATCCATGGATGCTAAGATCCACTCTGGATGGCATGCCGCTTCACTTGCCAGGAGTCGTTGGGACTGCCTTCGGGCGGTTCCAGAGAATGTTTCCACATCGAAAGCCTCAGTATCCATAAATCCACGATGGACCAGTCTGAGACGAATGGTTTTAACGCTCTCGGTACCCATCTTTACGAACTTCCACTTGTATACATACCTGGATGTCATGATGTTGGCAGCTTTGGATAAATCATACATCTCAAAGCATCGGTTATCAATCCAGATTTTGAGCTCAGTATACAAAGCTTCACTAACCTCCTTTGGATGTGCTGCTATGTCGGCGTTGGTCAGTAGATCATCTCCTTTGACAGCCACAGCACGTTTAGCAGCAGAGGATACATATACTCTCATCGTTGCGACCATATCGGTGTCGAGCTGTGCAAGTTGATTATGATCCAACACTATTTTTGACATTTCTGATGTAAAGCATAATTCAACGTAAGGACCATATTCATCACTGTCAAGAGAGTAGCTCTCGTCGGTTGTGGTTGAACAAAGAGAGACTAGACAGGACTCACGTGATTTCGGCTCGTCTCCGAGCATATCTGATGATATAACATCATCGTCGTCCACAAATGCTGAAGCCAAAACACATTGGTCGGGCAGCATAGTTGTTGGGACGCAATAAAGATAATCATCGGTAATCGTCGTAGGATGAAGGTCCATACGTAGCTCGTCGTACCACTCTTCCAGCATCATAGCTTCGATATTGTGTTCCTCGTTTTCCTCATAGATTGTCGACAGACGGCCTTCACTCGGCGATGAAGCATCTGGTGTGTCTGGAGAAGGCCTGTTTCCAGGCGACTCGTGTTCTCCAGACGTGTTGCTTGAATGCTGATATTTAACCAAATCGTCGTGAAATCCCAAGGAAGGGACACGTGAAGTCAAGCATTGAATAAGTCTGGAGTGAGTGCTACCAGTGATCTGAGAAATGTTTAAGCCGGTGCCCACAAATTCGTAATAGTGGAACGCCGGGCTGATGTCGTTGTCATAATGGATCAGCGTAGACCCGGTGGCGTACTTTACTGCAGGTAGGCTTGACACACTCTTAGCCAATCGAACTGCTACTACATGTTCTACTCGGAAGTAATTTCGTACGAGATACTGTAGCGCTAAGTGTACGCGCGGGTGAAACTTGCTGTCGTCTGACAGATTAAGGTTTCCCTTGTAATCGGGGATATAACCGAAAACTTTGGCAGGTTTCCCTGCGCTGAGGTGTGCCACATAAGCAAGGACGGTTTGCATGGCCATATTATCCATGCCAAGTTCCCGTGCAAGGAGACATTCGATGTGTAGTGTGTGACGAGCATCAGGATACATCGCAATTACCTCACGAGATCCTGCCTTGACAACAATATGTCCTCTTTCAGGCACATTTCGGATCACCGGGAATGGGCCGTTCCAGCCTCCATGGTCGTCCTTGGTGGCAGTAGGTCGGTGGTAATCGACCAAAACCCCTGATGAGTAGAGGCGAGCACCAGCAGGAGTCGTCTTAGCCCTAAGAGCCCGATTTGTCTTGGCCACAGCAGTAGCCTGAGTTATGGCTTCTAGGCTGACTTCCCTTACACGACGTTCTCGTTCGTGTCCTGAAGTCTC